GGGGGGGGGTGCACTCATCCTCATGTGCCGACACCTATGTACCTCAGGGTCTTGCAATTGGCAGCAAAGCTGCCCGACAGTTCAAGAGCCTTTCTTACTCCCGTTGAGTAGCCAACCCCTACGTGTTCGGAATCGCTTCCCCCATCCCAACACTTACCGATTGCTTCATTGGCCGTAGTGGATCGCAACCATTGTGTTGAAATCTCCGTACTTGGACGATACAGCAGCATTGCCACTCACTGGTGTGAAGCATTGCAATGCCTTCAAAAACGACACGACTATTGTTGTACTCGGGAGCGGTAACCGAGCCCCTCTCAACGCATGATCGGGGGCGAAACGCCAGTCCGCGTGACCCCTTACCGTCAACGGCTTGCTGCTCCGCACGTTGCCGCTGTAGGCGGTGCGGCGGCTGCGCTCCATGACCACCTGGTTCCGCCGCGTCATCCGCTTGAGCTGCTCCTGCATGGCCTGCTGCTTGCGGAACTCGGCCTCCTCGCTGGTTTCCTGGGGCTTGTCGCTCTTCGCCCGGCTGCTGCTCAACGCCAGGTCGGATACGCGCAGGTGAGGAGAGTACTGATTGGACGTGCAAAAAAACAAGCTTGTCTTCCTCCGCACGCGAACGCCGTCTTCATTGTTGTTTGTCGGTTTGGGTCATCATGCAAGAGGAGCAAAAATAAAGGTGGTATCTATACCGCAAAAAAAAAAAGCATAACGGAGCGGGAAAATGGAACAAAGCCGCCGCACCGGCGACAAAGTCACCTCGAACACAGCCCAAAGGAGGCGTTCTGTGTCGCGGTGTCGTCGGTGGTCATGATGCCCTCCCGGCTTCCTCTCCCCCCTCCCCACCTTCATACTTCTAGAAAACACGACAAGCCGCTCGAGGCCATCATATCTTAACACGACGATTAAAGGGAGCCTTCACCCGCTGGGGTAGCCAGTAGAACTATAATCCAGGACCTCCGAGCACGCGTGTGTGTCTTGTTGTTTTCCAGCATCCTCAGCGCGGTGGAACCCGATATCCTTTGCTAGACGAGCACAGTGAGTACATGACAACAACACGGCCCTGACCCTTCTTACGGTGAGCGGCGAACATCAGATGTCCAAACACCAGCACACAGGAGCAAGGTCCACACAAACTCTTGGCAAATACAGCAGCACGAGAGCAATCGTTGCCTTCTTACGATGTGCGGAAGTTGGGCGTCTTGGGCATGGTTAGCGCCCTCCTCCCAGTAGAAGCCGACCGGGGGCGTGCCTGCTGCTGCTGCTGCTGCTGCTGCTGCTGCTGCTGTTCTTGCTGCTTCTGCTGCAGCTTCTGCTGCTGCTGCTGGAGGGGAGTGGGCCCGGCGGTTGACACTCTCCGGTTGACTCCTATATCATGCATATCGACAGGAATAGGGGCGATAAAACAGACATTGCAACATCAAATACACCGGCAGCTTAGGGTACGTTTTTTTTTTTTTCTCCCATCATTGGACTCTGTCGTCTGCCCCTCTGGCCCCTGTCCTCCAGGTTTTCCAGCCAGACGACCCAACCGGGGTCACAGAGGAGGGGGGGGTCGGACCCCCTCCTGCGGTTCCTGCCTGATATGCTTTTCTCGCGAGAAGGGAATAGCAATCCCTTCCCTCGCGACTTATGAAGTCGATCAAGTTTACTAACAACGAGCTTCGCAGCGCGTCACTTCCAACGGAGACCAGGATTTAATAAGCGAGAAAAAACTCACTCTGTCGGGACTCGAACCCATGACCTGGCCCTTAGCAGGCTGCGAGGCTACCCACTAGACCGCCGGGGCGACCATGTTGTTGATCGAAAGCGGACAGCAGTCCAACCGGAGAATAAAAAAAAACGAGCCGAACGCTCACTTCAACAAAAGGACAAACCTAGGAACCAAAGCGAGATTGCACGGCGGCCTTGCTCTCTGTGCATTGAGCATGCTGTATTGTTGTATTGTTGTATTCAACGATTGGAGCGCGACTACGCATGCATGATTCAAGCTGGTTTGACTCCGAGATCTTTGCCACAAACGGCGCAACCTGACAGTTCGACAAGGCCTCTCGATCGACAGACACAGCAGCCACCGAACACCAACAACGACCTGAGACCCAAACACGATTCGTTTCCAACGACATGCCCAATCCGCATGTTGAACCCTCCTCCCCCCCCCCCCCCCCCCCCCCCCCCCCCCCCCCCCCCCCCCCCCCCCCCCCCCCCNGAACCCTCCCCCCCCCCCCCCACCCTGCAGACGCGGACATATCCTCACCTCGGTCGGCCACACGCTAAAGACTGATGTCCTGACGTCGCAAGACTCAGCCAACCAAGACGATCGACCCTAAACCAAACAAAACCACTCGTCATTCTATCACTCTTCATCTCTTGTCAATCCTGCCGCACAACACGCGCAATACGGGCAGTCGCAAGACACAGGCCGCCGCGAGACCCCCCCCCCCCCCCC